TCCACAACTGATATATTTAAACCCTTCTTAGAGTTATAAAATTAATTGGGAAGAGAACACTCACTCTAACACTCTTTTAATTATTGATTCAAAATCATAAATTTTAGTTAATTTTAGTTATAATTGGGCTTTATATTATAAAATTAAACACACGCATATGCAGAGACTTAGCAGTAGTTTATCCTTTAGTAAACTTTATTGATATAATTTGTAACCTTTCTATAATTATACTTTAAAATGATTATCTAGTATGAATATGTTTAATGTTGCTGATTAGGTAGACTGGTAGATACTAGTGTGCATATTACTTGCATTCCATGAGAACAATGTTAAAAATACAATCATGGAGCTCTTTTTTCCTTTAGAAAAAAGAAAATTTCAACCCTTATATTAGTAGTTTAAATATTTAGTAACTTATCATAGTTAAATAAATATAGCTAGTAGCATAATAAACTTCAAACATTTACTCAGCAACAAATAGTTATAATAATATCATGAAAATATTACACAATAATGTTTAATCTTATTATTTCAATTTCTTTTTTAAGTGTCATTTTTTTAATTATATTAATAGTAAAAAATATCTAAACTAATTACATGAAAACTAATCTATCTCTGTGAATTTAGTTGGTGATTTTAGGATTTCATATAACAAAAAATGAAGTTACCTTAAAAAAATAGTTCTTTCCCTCTCCTCTTTTATTCTTTTATTTTTCTTTCATGCATTTCATGATTTCAAATAATGTGTTAGATTTTATCTATGTTATAATATGTTTTTATATTATAAAATAAAAAAGAAAAAGTTATTCAAGTAATCCTTATAATTATTCCATTTTAAATATCATACGTATATGAAAAAAAATACAGTTTTACTTTAGTCAATCATAGTTTCGTTAGCAGTGGTTTATCACTGCTAGAAAGTTTTCGTAGATATACCACCAGAAAGTATTATCTAGTATAAGGGAGATAGACAAAATTTAGGCATATATACATATATTAGAGACTATAACTTCTGGTTTTCTCACATAGGAACTGAAATTTAAAATAGAGATAACTGTAGAAACTTAAAGTTTTTTTTTTGTATACTCTAAAAAAATAGTTTAACTATTAAAATAGACATTTATTTTTCTTAATCAGAAATGATTAATATTCAATTTCATATTTCTTTTCTGAGGATGTTTCATGCTATAACACTTTTAACTATGTATTTCACATTTCTGAGAAATTTTAATAATTAAAATAATCCTGTTATAATTTAATTGTCATAATAAAAAATACAGATATATTTTTATTCATTTTAACTTGCATTAATTCTACTGGAACAGGTAGTTGCAGGCGTGATGGACCAACTTAATATGCAAATTTCTCCATTTGTCAGGATTGATCTTTTCCAGATTATTCTAATGCAAGCTCCAAAAATCCTCTCTTTTTTTATTATTGTCAAACATGAGCAAGGTTTTTTCTTTGAAAAAAAAAGGTTGATGAGAAAACCACAAGCAAAGGAGGTTTCTAGAATGAAGTGGCCACAAAAACAAATCTACCATAGAAGTAAGATAAGTGAACAAGATCAGTGACGATTAACAAAATGCAACAACGGTCACACACAGCAACACAAAAACCTTCTATGAATCTCTGACAGTAACCCGTTAACCCAACAAAACTCCTAATCTCCATAACAGTCCTCGGACGCTCCCACTAAATCACAGCCTCCACCTTGACTGGTGTAGACACCCAATTTCGTCCGGGGGGCATACAAAAAATAAGATAGGACATCAGAGGGCCCAAAAGCCCAAATTAACTTTTTTTAGTGGCCCGGAACAGGCCGTTCCAAAATCAGAACGGGTCGTTCCCAAGTCTAGAACGGGCCGTTCTCGAATTGGAACGGGCCGTTCCGAGGCTTCTAAAAGGCCTAAAAGATGTAGGTTGGAACGGGCCGTTCTAGACCAGAACGGGCCGTTCCAAACCAATGAAAGGGCCTAAAATTTGTACCCTAGAACGGCCGTTCTCATTTCAGAACGGGTTGTTCTAGGGTATTAAAATGCTGCATAAGTTCGGATTCGGAACGGGCCCGTTCCGAATCCAGAACGGGTCGTTTCGGCCCATGTCTGATGCTTATAAATAAGAAATCTCGGGCATAGTAGCTCAACCTCAACCTCGTCCCCAAAGCCTGATGTAGAGTCTACCAACCTGGAAGTAAACCTTGGATCTCTATGAGAGATAATACTGGAAGGCACTCCAAGCAACCGTATTATCTCTCTAATATACAACTGTGCAAGCCTCTCCAAGGACCACCTCTTGACAGGAAGAAAGTGCACACACTTTGTCAACCTATCCACAATCATCCAGATAAAGTCACTATTCCTAGCTGTCCTAGGCAACCCAACCACAAAGTCCATAGTGACACTATCATACTTCCACTCGGGAATCTCCATCAGCACTAAGCTCAAAGCACTAAGCTTAAAACCAGCTGCCCTCTCAGTACCAAGCAATCCCAAAATCCTCAACAACTCTGGATCCTATAATTGCTTAGTTCCCACCTGTCTCAAGAACTCATTAGTTATGGTGATCATACAACAACTAATGTGATCTTGAACAACCTCCACCTCTAGTCTCAAATCTCTAAATTGCTTAATTAGTTCCAACTCCCTAATCATCATAACCGACACATGAATGGATTTCCTACTCAATACATCTGCTACCACACTCGCCTTCCCAGGATAATACATCAATTGGAAATCAAAGTCCTTTAGGAATTCCATCCATCTACTCTACCTCATATTCAACTCCTTCTGATCAAACAGGTACTTTAAACTCTTGTGATCACTAAATACACTGAATCTCGCACCATACAGATAGTGCCTCCACAACTTCAAGGCAAACACCACAATTGCAAGATCCAAATCATGAGTAGGATAATTCCTCTCATAAGTCTTAAGTTGCCTCGAAGCATACGCTACCACTCTCCCTTCCTGCATCAACACACAGCCCAACCCCTGGTGAGAAGCATCACAAAACACATCAAAATACTCACCAGTGTCAAGTAACACCAAAACTGGAAAAGTAGTCAATCACCCCTTCAATTCTTGAAAACTCTGCTCACAAGCGTCCATCTAAACAAAAAGCTTATCTTTTCGAGTCAGTTAAGTCAAAGACATTACTATTCGAAAGAAACCTTCTATGAATCTCTGACAGTAACCCGTTAACCCAACAAAACTCCTAATCTCCATAACAGTCCTCGGACGCTCCCACTAAATCACAGCCTCCACCTTGACTGGTGTAGACACCCAATTTCGTCCGGGGGGCATACAAAAAATAAGATAGGACATCAGAGGGCCCAAAAGCCCAAATTAACTTTTATATATATATATATATATATATATATATATATATTACTTTCACAAGAATACTAAGGAATCAAATTGGAATAGCGGTATGGTGGTTGGCCCATAACCCCCACAACCAGGGATCAAAACCTGGCTTTGTAATTTTAGTTAAAAAATATTTATATTCATAAGCGCGCGCGGGAAAGCCACATCAGTTCAATCAGTTCAAAAAAAAATTTAGCTACCGAAATTTAATCGGTCGCCAAAAAAATTCAAAAGTTTAGTATTAGCGACCGAATTAAATTCGGTCGCAATTTTTTGATAATTTTTTCAAAATTGGTCGCTAATTTCGTCGCAAACTATGTTTTCATGAAACACAATTAAACAGCGACCGATTTAGCGATCGATTTTCTCGTTACCACTCTAATCCGTCGCTAATTCGGTCGCAAAACAGCGACTGATAAATTTCGGTCGCTAAATCGGTCGCTATTTTAATCGGTCGCTAATTCGGTCCCAAAATAGCGACCTATAAAATTTGGTCGCTAATTTCGGTCACTATTTTGTATTTTTCTTGTAGTGATTGAATGAATTATTGGGTATTGATATGTTATACTTGGATGAATTGTTAAGCCTTGGTATGTTATTCTTGGTTGAGGTGTTAAGCATTGGTATACTATAGATGATTGATGTTGTTGATCTCTATACATAGACTGGATGTGATGTATATAGTAGATTATGGTAAGGTGTAGATGTTGAAAATACGATATGGCATTAAAGCGTGTTGGCTAACTTAGGACTTGAAGAGAGAAAATTATTTTGAAAATGAAAGATCCCACATAGGGTATCTTGGAGTGGTGCTCAGGTAGGCTACTATTGAAAAACCTTCCTTGAGTAGGCATGTCTCTTGGAGTGGGTTTCTAAGGTGTGTTGAGTTTCCTCTAGGTCCTTAGTTAGTGGTTGATAAGGTAGGAGGTTGAGGGCTACATGTAACGTAGCAAGTTGTTGAAGAAGGCCCAAAAGCTTAGTATGGGTGATTCAGTAGCCAGAACGGGTCGTTCCTAAACTGGAACGGGTCGTTCCAAACTATTGATTTGACCTATAAAACATAGTTGAGAACGGGCCGTTCTGGTTCAAGAACGGGCCATTCTGGAGGGAGAACAGGCTGTTCTGGAGAGGAGTACGGGCCGTTCTGGATGGAGAACGAGCCGTTCTGGATGAGTTCCAGCACGGGCCGTTTTGATTTCAGAACAGGCCATTCTGCATGATATTTTTGCCCATGATGAAGGGGTGCAGAACGGGCCGTTTCGGATTTGGTACAGGTCATTCTGGTCACCCCGCTCTTATTGTATTTCTTAAGTATTGTGAGGCAATTGTAGTGTGAAAGGTTGCCATAAAACACCTAAAATCTCCTTATTTTGAAGATCCAATAGAGCTCATTGAAGAGGTATTTCAGTTAATTATTTCTCTTTATTTTTTATTTCTTATCTATAATAATTATCGTTATAATAAAAATAATCATGTAGACATTTTAGGGTTAACTGTATTATTTAAATTTCAAGTGTGTAAATAATTATTAATAAAGGGGATCTAATATTTAATTTATTATTTCTTATCACGTTAACTTCATCGTAGGGTACCGATTGAGGACATTGTAGGGGTGCTTAATACCTTCCCTACATGTCACCTTCACACCCCAACACATCAGGAATCTGCTATGGTGTTGGAGACAACAACAGTGCTTTTCACTCTCCCTTGGCCATGATGCCTCTCAAGTCTGATGGCTCACTTTGCATTATGGAAGCCCTCACCAGATCACAATCCCAAGGTATAGCATTTGTTTACCCTCTTCCATGCATTTAAAACTTTCTTTATTATGTAACATATTATGAAGGTAACATATTTTTTTTATTTTTTATATATATTTAAAAATGGATGTTTAACAGTGTTGTTGTGGCTTTTTTTTAGTGATGGTGCCAACTTCATCTCCAAAGCTTGAGGACTTTCTAGGTGGTGCAACTATGGGGGGTCAAGACTATGGAGGGCATGGAAGAGAAGCAATGGCTCTAAGCCTTGACAGCATCTACTATAGTAACCAAAATGCCGAAGCTGAAACCAACAGAGACCATTCTTCTTCTTTGGACCTTCTTTCTGACCCTTTTAGGCACCAAACCCATCCATATTACTCGGGGCTTGGGATTTACCAAGTGGAGGAAGAAGCCAAGGAACCCCAAATGCCTCAAGTGGTGGAAGAAGGCATTGCTTGCTTCAACAACTGGGTGCCACCAAGGGAATATTCTTCTTCTCAGCAGAATCTGGAGCAGCATCAAGTGAATAATAGTAGTGGTGGACTTGTGGAGGATCATGGTGCTTCTGGGGGGAATGGTGGTGTTGGCACAGTGGAGTGTGGGGAGTTACAATCTTTAAGCCTGTCTATGAGCCCCGGCTCTCAATCAAGTTGTATCACTGTTCCAACTCAGATCTCATCTTCTAATACTGAATCTGTGACTGTGGAGGCCAAAAAGAGAGGGTCTGGTAAGCTTGGTCATAAGCAACCTGTGCATAGGAAGTCCATTGACACATTTGGGCAGAGAACTTCGCAGTATAGAGGTGTTACAAGGTTAGTTACTTCAACTCACCTTCACCCCTTTATTTGCGTAACTTTTACCATAATTATTTTGATTATTTGGTCCTCTTTTTAGTCCACGGGTCGTTTCGGCCCATGTCTGATGCTTATAAATAAGAAATCTCGGGCATAGTTCAAGGGACCCCAAAAATTTCGTGCAGCACTCCTTAGAGCTCGAAATTTCTCTCTTTTTCTCTCTCCCTCTCTTATTGTATTTCTTAAGTATTGTGAGGCAATTGTAGTGTGAAAGGTTGCCATAAAACACCTAAAATCTCCTTATTTTGAAGATCCAATAGAGCTCATTGAAGAGGTATTTCAGTTAATTATTTCTCTTTATTTTTTATTTCTTATCTATAATAATTATCGTTATAATAAAAATGGAACTACGATGATCATACTTGGTATGGGAGTAGGTCAGGCTAGCTTGGAGTTGAGGTTTCCGCTGCGAGACGGGGAGTTTGATCCTCGTTTTAGAGGGTTACCATTTTGGGTAACAATTTTGTCTGTGCTTGACCGGCACTAAGAAATAGTATTTTTGGGATGACTGTACATATAAGGCGTTCTATTTTGTATTTAAGAAATTTAGTTATTTTTATTCTTATCTATACATGTATGTATGAGTTATCCAACTTAATATTTCTCTTAGTTCACTAGTAGTAGTGTGATTCCACTAAGTGTAGAGACCATGACGGTTCGTTACACTTTTATGGTATCAGAGTCGGTCGAGTCTTTTAGGATACTCTGTGGGAAGTGATCCTTCTAGGTTTCTGTTGTGTCATATCTCTGATATGTGTTAATGTTGGTGAGTTGTAGTGGTTAAGTATTAAAAAAAGAATGTTTGAATTCTTTTAGTATGGTGAGGCCTCAATTTGATCAGATCGCTAGGGCTATGGAGATGATGGCCATGGTGATGCGGCAGCAAAGTGCTCACTTTGCTCAGATGGAGGCAGGTAGGATTGCAGTTGAGGCAGCTAGACCGGTGGTCTCTCAGGATGGGAGAGATTTATCAGAGTTCAGGGGATGTTAGCCTCCTCAAGGGGGATTCAGATCCCGATGTGATAGATTAGTGATTGTGTGAGATGGAGAAGATCTTCAGTGTTTTGGGATCTTTTGAGGAGAGGAAGTTGGCCTATGCAGTATGTATACTGGCCGGCGAGGCTGAATACTGGTGGAGAAGCACCAAACAGATGTTAGAGAGAATGGGTGTACCTGTTGATTGGGATTGCTTCAGTTTTTTTGGAGAAGTATTTGCCAGATGGCGTTAGATACGCTAAGGAGGTAGAGTTCATGAGACTACATCAGGGGAGTTTGTCTGTTTTTGAGTATGCTATGAGGTTTGAGCATCTGACTCGTTTCTACTCTCGGGCCATAATTGAGGCTTGGAGATGTAGAAAGTTTGTAGAAGGGGTTGAGGCATGTGCTAAAAGGGGGTCATAGTCCCTATGTCCATAGTAGAGTTTCTTGCCTTGGTTGAGAAGGCAAAGACTGTTGAGAGATTGGAGGTGGTGGTAGCAGCGGTAAGGCTGCTAGAGTTCAGGAGGGATCATCTAGATCTAGGAGGGGAGGTCAGTAGAGGGGACCCTATGACAAGCTTGTTCAGTCTCAGAGAGGAGCTGTTAGTAAGGGGCCTCGTCTTGCTACTCCTCAGGGTGGAGCACAGTCGGCGCAGTGTTACAGATGTAGAGAAGCCACATGGTTAGAGATCGTATCCATTCGGGGAATTTTTTTTTAGATGTGGCAGGTCGGGCCACATTTCCAGAGATTGTTAGATGCCATTGACTCCATCTAGGAGTGCTTTGAGGCCACCTAGGCCTACAGCTATAGGGAGAGTGTTTGCTTTATCAAGTGTAGAGGCTTCCACTTCATCATATTTGGTGAAGAGGAAAGGGAAGGCAGCAGGTGAGGATGTTTTGTTCTTGTTTGGTTTCGGTGCCACACATTCATTTTTTTTGTTGATTGTGTGGGGAGATTAGGTTGTCGGTTTCTGCATGGCACGTTGATTTGTATGTATCTACTCCGGCTTCAATTTCTGTGGTGATATCGGAGATTTGTGTGAGATGTCCGATAGAGGTGTTTGGTAGGAGGTTCCGAGTGAACCTGATTGTGTTGCTTATGGTGGATATCGACATAATCTTAAGGATGGATTGGTTATCTGCCCATCACATCCTTATAGATTGTGCTCAAAGAGAGTTGGTATTTCCTTAGTTGGAGGACGAGATGTTGTCAGCGAGTCAGGCTGAGTAGTTGATGAGAGATAGAGTCGAGTGCTTCATGTGTTTGCTATTTTGAATGTTGAGACAAAAAGGGCCATCATTGGGATTGAGATTGACAGTGAGTTTTCGGAGATGTTCCCAGATGATGTGCTGGGATTGCCACCTATGTGTGATGTTGAGTTTAGCATTTATCTGGTACTGGGTGCAAGACCGGTATCAGTGGCTCCTTATAGGATGGCTCTAGTTGAGTTAGTAGAGTTGAAGTGACAGATTGAGGATTTGTTGGAGAAACAGATGCTGAGGCCCAATGTTTCTCCTTGAGGTGCTTCGGTATTGTTAGTGAAGAAGGATGGTGGGGCCCCTTTGTGGGTTGATTATCGGCAACTGAATAAGTTGACGATAAAGAATAAGTATCCACTTTCGAGGATTGATGATTGGATGGATCAGCTGAGGGGAACTTCAGTGTTTTCAAAGATTGATTTGAGATCCGGATACCATCAGATCAAGGTAAAGGAGAGTGACATACCGAAGATTGCTTTCAGAACTAGGTATGATCACTGTGAGTACGTAGTGATGCATTTCGGTGTCACTAATGCTCCAACAGTGTTCATGGATTACATGAACAGAATTTTTAGGTCATTCTTGGACAGGTTTGTGATGGTCTTCATTTATGATATATTGGTGTATTCTAGATCTTTGGAGGATCACCGTGAGCATCTAAGGTTGGTTTTAGAGGTGCTGAGGGAGAGATAGTTGTATCCCAAGTTGTCCAAGTGTGAGTTTTGGTTGTCTAAGGTGAGGTTTGGGGCATGTGATATCGAGAGAGGGGATTGTAGTGGATCCAGCCAAGTTGGAGGCTGTGATTCAGTGGGAGCGTTCGAGGACTGTTACGAAGATTAGGAGTTTTGTTGGGTTAACGGGTTACTATTAGAGATTCATAGACGGTTTCTCTTGAATAGTAATGCCTTTGACTTAACTGACTAGGAAGGATTAGCTTTTGTTTGGATGGACGCTTGTGAGCAGAGTTTTCAGGAATTGAAGGGGTGATTGACTATTGCTCCAGTTTTGGTGTTACCTGACATTGGTGAGTATTTTGCAGTGTTTTGTGATGCTTCTTACCAGGGGTTGGGCGGTGTGTTGATATAGGGAGGGAGAGAAGTGACATATGTTTCAAGGCAACTTAAGACTCATGAGAGGAATTATCCTACTCATGATTTGGAGCTTGCAGCTGTGGTGTTTGCCTTGAAGTCGTGGAGGCACCATCTGTATGGTGCGAGATTCAGTGTATTCAGTGGTCACAAGAGTTTGAAGTACCTGTTTGATCAGAAGGAGTTGAATATGAGGCAGAAGAGGTGGATGGAATTTCTAAAGGACTTTGATTTCCAGTTGATGTATCATCCTGGGAAGGCGAGTGTGGTAGTAGATGCATTGAGTAGGAAATCCATTCACGTGTCTATTATGATGATTAGGGAGTTGGAGCTGATTGAGCAGTTTAGAGATTTGAGACTACAGGTGGAGGTTGTTCAATATCACATTAGTTGTGGGATGATCACCACAACTAAAGAGTTCTTGAGTTAGGTGAGAACTAATCAATTACAAGATCCAGAGTTTTTGAAGATTTTGGGATTGCTTGGTACTGAGAGGGCAGCTGGTTTTGAGCTTAGTGCTTTAAGCTTAGTGCTGATAGAGATTCCTGAGTGGAAATGTGATAGTGTCACTATGGACTTTGTGGTTGGGTTACCTAGGACAGCTAGGAACAATGACTCTATTTGGGTGATTGTTGATAGGTTGACAAAGTGTGTGCACTTTCTTCCTGTCAAGAGGTGGTCCTTAGAGAGGCTTGCACAGTTGTATATTAGAGAGATAGTACGGTTGCATGGAGTGCCTTCCAGTATTATCTCTGACAGAGATACAAGGTTTACTTCCAGGTTGGCAGACTCTGCATCAGGCTTTGGGGATGAGGTTGAGGTTGAGCTCTGCTTATCATCCACAAACAGATGGTCAGTCGGAGAGGACAATTCAGTCACTAGAGGATCTCTTAAAAGCTTGTGTATTGGATCATCTGGGTAGCTGGGAGGAGGTGTTACCATTAGTGGAGTTTACCTATAACAATAGTTATCACTCGAATATTGGCATGGTGCTTTTTGAGGCTTTGTATAGCAGGAGGTGTAGGACTCCATTATGTTGGTATCAGGAGGGTGAGTCAGTAGTGGTTGGTCCAAAGTTAGTTCTTTAGACTACTGAGATGGTGAGATAGATTCAGGAAAGGTTGAGGGCTACCTAGAGTCGATAAAAGTTCTATGCTAATAGGAGGAGAAGACCTCTAGAATTTGAAGAGGGAGAGCATGTGTTTCTCGTTTCACAGTTGAGGAACTACATTAGAGACCGAGTTATGTGGTAGAGATGGATGAGGTGAAAGTTAGAGAGAACTTGACCTATGAGAAGAGACCGGTAGCTGTGATTGATCCCAAGTTGACGGAGCTTCGTGCCAAGTCCATCAGCTTGGTGAAGATTCTTTGGGATGCAGCTACTGGTGAGGCAACCTGGGAAGTAGAGAGTCAGTTCAATGAACAGTATCCATTTCTCTTTTCAGGTAAGCCTATTTTCAGGGACGAAAATTCCTATTTTTGGGGGGATATTGTAACGTAGCAAGTTGTTGCAGAAGGCCCAAAAGCCCAATATGGGTGATTCAGTAGCCAGAACGGGCCGTTCCTAAACTGGAACGGGTCTTTCCAAACTACTGATTTGACCTATAAAATGTAGTTGAGAACGAGCCATTCTGGTTGGAGAACGGGCTGTTCTGGAGGGGAGTACGGGCCGTTCTGGATGGAGAACGGGCCGTTCTGGATGAGTTGCAGAACAGGCCGTTCTAGATTCGGTACAGGCCATTCTGGCCACTCCGGAATTTCTATAAATAGGGGTTGGGGCAGTTGAGGAGAATGAGTTTTTAGAGAAAAGTTTTAGAGAGAAGGACTCTGGGTCTGTGAGCTCCTTTCTCTCCCAAATTTCTTTGTATGATTCCTTTTCTCCTCTAGATCACTAATGCCTTCTGTCTTTTCTTGAAATTTAGATTAGGAAGCTTACTTTGGGAGGATTGAAGTTCCGGGTTGAGCTTCGGAAGGGAATTCTACTTTTTCTCAGTTATTGGTTATTTTGAGCCAATCATCAAGTGAGGGAAGCTAGAATGTTTGTTATTTAAGTTGCATGTGAGATTTGAAATTCAATTGATGCATGAAAATTGAGTATCCATGGCTGGATCGGAGAATTCACTCATTTTTCGAGGTTTTGGGTGGAATTGATGCATCGGATGGGTGCATATAGATTTTGAGTTTGTTTTTGTGTTTTGTGGAGCCTATGCATTGTGTTTTTGTGTTTGCATGTGGCTGGATTTATTGGTTTGGATGAGGGTTTCTGAACTCTCTGACTGGGATTAGGCTAGGCGCAGGTTGAGCGCGCTAGGCGTGGAAGAGCTTAGGGCTCTCGAGTTGGATGTTGGGCTAGACGTGATTTGGTTGCGTCAGGTGTGGATACTCTTAGGAGTCTCTATTTCAAGGACACCGACCATGAGTTGAATGCGCTGGCGTGGATGAGTCTTAGGACTCTCAGGTTGGGATTAGGCTGGGCGAGCTCAGGCTATGCCAGGCGTGAATATGTTTATTAATGAATTGATGCTTATGCATGTTTAAAGTTGAAGTTTTAGATCATGTATGTATGATATATGATGTATGGTGAGGGGTGATTCATATGTATGCTTTGTGATGATACTTATGAATGTTTAAATATGATATGACATATTTATATGTTCATATGGTTAGGTTTATTGATCATGATGGTGGGTAGACCATGTATGACGTATGATGCATTATTGCATGTGATGTCTTATGACATGTGTATGATTATTGATCATGATGGTGGGCAGACCATGTATGATGTATGATGCATGATTGCATGTATGAGGTCGAGGGTTAATCCCTTAACCAAGTACTCCGGAAGGTGCGTGGATCCTTGCGGATAGTCGGTGGGCAAACTCCACTATTGACTTGGTTATGCATGCCAAGGTCGTGGTAAGCCCGTACCCAGCTGTGCTATACCTGACGGTGGATCTGGACTTACAATTGTGTAAGTGACATCATCCGAGTAAACCCGAGTGAGGATTATATCCTGTTTAACTGTGACCGAGCGGGCGCATTGGGCGTGAAAACGGTTAGGGTGGTTTCAGTAGGATGGAATGTCACTTATACAGCTCTGTTGTTAGGGAGATCTCCTAGGTGTATGCGTGACGATGCATTAGATGATTGATATGCATTGATATCTGTCATGAGATGCATTTATTGCATGATTATTAATATGATGAAGTGTGGTGTTTGACTTCATGATTAGTGGATTGTATTTTATACATGAGTAGTGTTGGATAGAGTGTATGGTGTGACTCTATGAACATGATTGATAGATGGATGATGTGTAGTATAGATTTTATTCTATACTTGTATGATTGATTTTGAACTCTACCTTACCCTTCTGTTTCCATGTGGTGGAACTGCGATGATCATACTTGGTATGGGAGCAGGTCAGGGCTAGCTTGGAGTTGAGGTGTCCGCTGCGAGACGGGGAGATTGATCCTCATTTTAGAGGGTTACCATTTTGGGTAATGGTTTTGTCTGTGCTTGACCGGCACTAAGAAATATTATTTTTGGGATGATTGTACATATATGGCGTTCTATTTTATATTTAAGAAATTGTTATTTTTATTCCTATCTATACCTATATGTATGAGTTATCCAACTTAATATTTCTCTTAGTTCACTAGTAGTAGTGCGATTCCACTAAGTGGAGACCATGGCGGGTCGTTACACTATAACCCTTAACCAAGTACTTAATGAAAAAGTTGTGTGATTCCTTTAGAATAATTAGTTGGCAAATTCTATAAGTGACTTGATAATGCATGAATGCCAAGGTCGTGGTAAGCCTATATCTAATTGTACTATTCCTAATGATGGAACTAGACCTTCCTAGTGTAAGTGATAAGACCCAAGAAATAAGAAGTGGGATTGGTATCCCATTTTACTGTGATCAAACAAACACTTTGGGTTTTGAAAACGGTTGAGTTGGTTTAATACGATGGAACTCACTTAAACTGTTCATTTTGTTAGGAGATCTCCATAGGTGAATGCGTGATGACACATTGGTTAATATGTTTGCATATGATGCGTTTTGAGATGTGTTCATATGCATTGTTGATGTCTTGTGTGACATGGTTTGGATTAGAT